TTTATTTGTTTATTTTAATTCAATTTTTATCCCGCCCTCCCCGCCACAGGCAGGCTCAGGACGGCTTACAGTACAGGTTAAAACCACATTAAAACACAAACATGACAAGCCTAGCTCAACAATAAAATAGAATAAAATGAAAATAAAGTGCTGGTGACAATAACAACCCCGGTGGCCGTGATAGATGTTCCCCAAAAATGGTCCCCGTCGGCAACCGGCATAGTTCGTATTCTCCAGTTCAGTTAATGTTAGTTGATGTTACTAATATAACTGATGTTATTAGTGGCGGCTCCTAGTCGAAGGCCTGGGTGGAAGAGCTCCGTTTTACAGGCCCTGCGGAACTGCAGAAGGTCCCGCAGGGCCCTGATGTCCTCCGGGAACTCATTCTACCAGTGTGGAGCCACCACTGAGAAGGCCCTTGCCCTGGTAGAGGCCAGTTTGGCATCTTTTGGTCCTGGGAGGGCCAAACGATTTTGTGACCCTGACCTCAGTGCTCTCTGGGGGATGCGTGGGGAAAGGTGGTTGTTATGTCCTCAGACCACTGCCAGGCGCCAGCCAGAGGCAGCTAGAGCTTCAGTCCCGGAGACAATAGGGACTAGGCTCCTGAACTTCCAGTAAGGAGCCAATAGGGACCTTGGCGGGGAGTTCAAACCCGCCAATAGAACCTAGGGGCGTCCCTCCCCAATTGTATAAAGTTGGCCACCCGTCTTCGCCTATGTCGTGGTCCGAGTCCTGATGTATCGAACCCAGTACTTTTCAGCGGTCCTTCAGGTATTAAGGAGCAGGAGGGCATCAGCATTTGGGAGAAGCTCATCATCCATGTATAGCAATTGGTGGGCCTCTCATTTGAACTTTTTGCTGCTTTTTGGGGATTGCAGAATGGGATGGTTGTCACACACACGCCTGGCAGGCTCCCTTATACACGTGCTTGGTGGGTTGCATTCAGTTTGGTGGGTCACAGGTTGTGGCCCAGCAGACCTCTTTGCTCAGCGAGCTCATCTGGTTCTCCACCCGGAGGGGCTAGCAGTGGCTCTGGGGCTCAGGTTGCCCCCAGTGTGTGTACAGACCTCATCTCCTTCCTCCTTTGCCTTGCAAGCATACCAACACCTTCACAGGTAGACAGAGGGATTTCTTTGGCACTTGAGCCAGAGGTTAGGTGGGTTTCTCTTTGGTTGGCTGCACTAGTTCTCCTGCCAGGCTGCTTGTGGGTACAGCCTCTCCATTAGCTAGCATGAGAGTTGCAACTTGTCCATAGGAAGGTATTCACTGACTGGCAGAAATGCCGGAGTTGGGATCCTGGTGTTTCAGGAGAATGGGAGGAGGCACAAGTCCCCCCCATGTGAACTAGGCCTTATTCTATTTGATGTTTCCATGCAGGGTGGGATGACCTTGACCTATGACCCCACAACAGCGCTACAGAATGGGTATGTCCTCTGTTTTACTGTGCCTTCATTTCCTCATCAAAAGTATGTTAGTAGATAGCCTGTTGTTCATCTTCAAAGAGACCCAGAAGAATCACTTCTGCACACAAGCATATGGGAAATCCAAACCTTTGCGAAGGGCTTTTAACTCTTCCTCCCCACCTTCCCCCATTGCAGGTTCTACACGACACCCTACAGCCTGGCTCCCAACAGGATGATTGCCCAGACTGCGCTCTCCCCCTACCTTCCATCACCCATTTCCTCCTACCAGGTATCTGTTGCGCGCACACACAGACAAGCTAAGCCTTAGGTAGCCATGAGAGAGGAAATCAAGGGGATGACTCTGCTGGGAATGAATACAGAAACTAAGGGTGTATCCTCCTCCTTTTGTACGTAAGAATCAATACACTTATTTGTCTGGACCATATGCCCTAATAAAATATGTTACGGGGACCCCGCACATAGCACATATTCAACTTGTGCTCCGTGAGCTACACTGGCTTCGGGTGGAGTACTGGATCCAGGTTCGAAGGTTTTGGTGCTAGCCTTTAAGGCCTTTAACAGTCTGGGAGCCACGTATCTTCGGGACTGCCTCTCCTGGTATGCCCCCCAAAGAGGGTTGGACCTGACATTTAAAAACTTACTGGTGGTCCCTGCCCTGAGAGATATCCAGCTGTCCTTGACCAGGGCCAGGGTGTTTTCCACTCTGTGAGCTCTCTGCCAAAGAACGCCTGTGCCCTGTGGGACTTAATGCAGTTCTGCAGGGCGGAGATGTTTCGCCAGGCGTTTGATTGAGGACAGTGGGAGTTTCCATCTGCCTGGCACTCCTGCCTCCCTCCCTCCCTCCCCTCCACGAGACGGTGGCATGTTCTGGTGGCTTCAGCGTCATCTTGTTAGGTTAAACACTGTATTTAATGGCTTTAAATTTTAATCGTGAATCTAATCTATGTATGTTCTGTATTGATGTACACTGCCCTGAGCAGGGGAGGGCAGTTTGAAAATAAATAAATAAATAATAAAACTCACTGCTTGCATTTGCTTCAGAAACTGATATGGAGTCAGGAGTATGAGGGTGTAGTATAGTGAGTGAAGGCCATCTGAGACATGATGGTGGCAGACCCATTTCATGAAACCCTCCTATGGCCTAGCAGATGCTGGGGAGTCTGGTTTTTAGAGTCAAAGGAGCATGCATCAGTGGCTTAACCTTTCCACAGCCTCCTCGTGTGCTTTTCTTCTCAGCTGAGCTCCAATACCAGCTTCTGCAAAGGAAGGGGATCAGTGTTCCCCCTAAGCTGAGTTAGTGTGAGCTAGCTCACAGTTTTTTAGCCTCCGACTCACACATTTTTGTCTTAGCTCAGGAAGGGTGGCTCTAGAGCAAACTAATTTATGCAGTAGCTGAATCGCTCGCTCAGAACTTTCATGTCAGTAGTTCACAAAGTAGAATTTTTGCTCACAAGACTCCACAGCTTAGAGGGAGCACTAGAAGGGACTATGGGGAGGTGAGAGGCAGGAACAGGGAGCGTTCAGTTCCTTTCACTCACATGACCTGTTTGCTCAAACACTTAAAACACACACAAACCTTCCCCTCCCCTCTACATGTAAGTGTCCGTAAACAAGCTGATCTCGTTTGGCCTTTAGAACGATTGTTAGCTGCAAGCCAGCAGGTCCCTGGTTAAATTCTCACCTTTGCCACAAACCAATGGGCCAGCTGGCATCTTTTGTCCGCAGCCCGTCTTGCATCAGTGATGGGGGGGGGATAACAGCATAGTGTATGTGTCAGGGCTGTTGTAAGGATCAGTATGTGTGGACTGCATTATCTAAACACTAACTATTATTATTACTGTACTGCTTTTAGGTTCACAGCCCATCATGGATGCACCATCAGTCGTACCTCATGCAGCCCACGGTGAGACCTGCTCCCCCCCCCCCCCAAATTCTGACCCCCTTGTTTAAGGGCACTTTCTCAAACCCCATGGAGAAAGGCCTTGTCAGTTTGGACTGTTTCGCGCATGAGCGCAGGACAGAAAGCAACAGAGAACAGTTTTTTAAAAATCAAATGTGCTCATAGCTTGGGGTTATGCTAGTGATGAACTCAGAGAAGTGAGTTGAGCATTACTTACGAAAACTTTCCTGGTACTCTTGCTGGATACCCTGATCCCAGATATTACATTTGCTCTTCCCTACTGCAGGCTAAGCATGAGGAGGCGGAAAAAACTGAGGGGCGGGGTGAGAGGAACGTATTACTTGGGTCTTACAGGGTGCCTGCAGTTGTTAGCACTTCTTACTGACACATCACTGCCAGA